GATGTTATGTCTTTTGACTGAGTGTGGCATGATGACCTTCTGTTCAAGATCTAAAAACAACTGCCTCATTCCAAGGTCAATAAACTAGTAAAAGGAGTCACTTCATATTCACCGGGTACCTAGTTAATATGTATCATTGTTCAGGAAACAATATAATGTGTTGGTGTTCCCCTTCTGCTGTGGTAAACTTTTTCCTGAAGAGGATCAAAATTATGCAGAACGCTAAGTGGTTAGCTACATCAATGAGATTTCTGCTTCCCGGAAAACCTTCAGTTGCTCCCCAAGAGAAGTACATGATTAGATTGGAACAGTGGTTTTACTATTAAAAAAAAAAAACAAATAAAAAAATGAATAAATACAAAACAATACAAAAAAGACTGCACGGTTGGTGCGGTGGCTGGGCAACTGGCTGCCGTGCAACGTGTCGCGGGTTCGATTCCCACACGAGACAACACTTTGTGTGATCCACAAATTGTTGTTTCGGGTCTGGGTGTCATGGTGTATGTGAACTTGTATGTTTGTAAACGCACCCTCGACACAGGAGAAAATCCTATAGTGGGGCAACGTTAAAAAAAAAAAATAATTTAAGATATTCCTAGGTATGTGTATCTAGTAAGACATCAAGCTGAAATCTTCTTTCAGCAACGAGACATAAATATTAACATAAATTAATGGTTTACACACGTTAAACATTATTGAGTAAAGCTCTGCTACTTTCGAGTAACACAGGGGCTCTTCTTCATGAGCAGCGTGTGTAAACTAATATCCTCGTATCTGTTGAAACACCGGCTCCCAGTATAAAATACATTATGGCCGCAACTTTCAACAGACAAGGGGATATTTTAGTTAAGTAAATAGTATGTCTCACAATAGTTTATACTAGCTGTTGCCCGCGACTTCGTTCGCGTAAAATTGTGATTCACAGCTCCTCCCCCGTAGATGATAGCGTGATAATATGTAGCCTATATATTGACCCGATCTGTTAGTAATATTCATGCAAAATTTGAAGTAAATCCATGCAGTACTTTTTGAGTTCATCCCGGACACACATACATACAAACAGATAAAAATTCCAAAAACCATATTTTTGGCTTCGGTATCGATTGTAGATCACGTCTCAAGTATTCTTAAAAATATTCAATGTACACTTTTGACTTTTCTACGATTATATTATATATATATATAAAATAGATACTACAATTAATGCAAAGAGAAATTTGTTCAGTGTCCACACAGTATAATACCTCTAATATGTACCTAACAACTTTTAGGAATTTAAAATTATTATTGTTATTTTCTATTCTATTCTACATAATGCACATTTGTTTTTTTTATGCCATAGGCCGGTCAACTAGCAGACGGATCACCTGATGGTAGGCAATTGGCGTCGCCCATAGACACCTGGAACACCAGAGGCGTTACAAGTGCGTTACCGGCCTTTTGGGGATTAGGAGTATGAGGATCGTTGGGAATTCAGGGATTGGGGAGATTGGGGAAGGGGAGAGTAATTGGGCCTCCGGTAACCTCACTCACACGACGAAACACCACGCAAGCGTTGCTTCACGTCGGTTTTCTGTGAGGCCGTGGTATCACTCCGGTCGAGCCGGCCCATTCGTGCCGAAGCATGGCCCTCCCAATAATTGATACTTGAGTCAGAAATAGATTACACCTGGACCTTTAAGCATGTTAAACACTAATGCACACTCCATCTAACTTGACTGTCAATTATGACATGATTGCATCATTTCATGCTGGACGATGATTAGATTGTGATTGGTTTCAGATTAACCTGTTACAATTAGCGATGTACTAATCGGAGTCATGTTCATACTCACGGGGAATTGAAATGCGATGACATAATTATAGCAATATGTGTTTATGTATGTATACATATCAAGCTATGCAAAACCAGTATATATCGATCGTTAAATGTGTGGGTAGAAACGAGACTATGATAAACTGATTTTGTGCAGCTGGATATGGACGTCATGATCGGTGAATGTAGAGAGAGATGTCGAACCATACTAACTTGACTGCCTCGTTGGCCGAGTGGTTGCGAGTGCGACTGCCGGGCAAGGGGTCTCGGGTTCGATTCCCGGGTCGGGCAAAGTATTACTGGGTTTAAAAAAAAACTCAGTAGTAGCTCGGAGTCTGGAATTGTGCCCGGTATATGGCAATAGGCTCACCCCCTATTACATAGGACTCGTAACATAAATAGTGAAAAGTGGGTGTCACTTCTGTGTGCACCTCTGCCTACCCCTTCGGGGATAAAAGGCGTGATGTTATGATTATGGTTATGATGACTAACTTGGCGTTATTTTTAATGGAAGTTTCCCACCTAGTACAATTTTGGATGTTGTTGTAAAATTTTGATGGCAGATAATATTTTGTCCGGTTTGAGGATACAATTACATCTGTTTGACAACTAATTGTTGATAATATACCTAGTCTAAGCCGTAGGTATGTGTTCCATGTTTATCTCACAAGGGTAAGCTATAGAAAAATAATGAGGACAAAGACTAAATACAAAATAATAAGTCCACTTATCTTCAAACAAAATAAATCCCAACTCACGAGTCTCAATTCCAAAGAGACGTAACCGACATTAAAGTTAATACCCTTATGTCCTTTGTCCTACGTATCATTTCGCATGACTAAACATACATAATAACTACCATATATTTTTCTAGAATTGCTATATTTGTCAGATAGGACAAACATGGCCTGAGGTAGTTCGCAATTCACTCAAAATATCTGAAAGATAAAATAATGTTCAGAGAAAGGTGCAAAAAATATGCTTTGTGGGCGTGGCGAAGTTTATCTGAGATAGAGGGTAAACATCGTTTGTCTCACGCTTCGGGCTACGTTCAGATCGGGCTTGGAAACCAGCGGAGTGACACTATTATTCTGTCGTAAAAACAAGGTTGATATTGGCTTGATTGTCTGATCAAAAATTAGTATTTTTATTCTTCTAGTTTTAATTGAATCAATAGTTATGATAAACGATGATAGTAGTGGTGGTACGCTACCTTCTTTCACATTTCCTACAAATAAGTCAAATGCAAACAGGTCATCATTCTGAACTACAAAAATATTCTAATAATCAATTCTCACCCGCCCCCATCCCCAATAACCTCAAAAGACCGGCAAAGCAGTTATACCTCCTCTAGTGTTGCGGGGATACCCGCAAGCAGCGTCGATTGATGACCCGTGTGTGTCGATTGCGTCTTATAACATGAAAACGTTATATTTTATTAAAACATCATATTTTCACCTATCTCCCTAACGTAATAATTATGACCCAGTTTTCATAGCCAAACCGTACAACTGTAGAGAAGGAAGCTTAACGATGTTTGTTTCGAAATAATTTAAAACAATCGCGACGCTAATGAACCGTCTCACGCGCAGACGCTTACATTGTACACTGACTGTGTTTACTTAATCATTAGCATGTGTCACACGGAAGAGATGATTACCAAGTAGGATTTGTTTGGGGCCTAGAGGTTTTTGAAAGTAGTGACTAAGTAACGATGGTTCAGGATAAAAAAATATAAGCTTTTGTCATACGGCCAGTTAAATAAATATTGGCTTCAAGTAACATTTCGAATTAGGTATTGAGAAATTAAGAAATTAAGAAGTACTCCTTGCACATGATCACCAACTAAGAGAAGTATTTAACTTCAAATAATACGATAATAAAATAAATAAGATTAACTAAAATGATGATTAGTTATAATAAATTAACAAAACAACTTAAAAGGTTAAAAAAAAATGTATGTAAAGTACATCATAATTTTAAACTCGTTTAGTTAGACTACAACAAAATGTTCCTGTTTCATGGGGCTTTAGGGATGGCACATAGCGTAGGGTGTAGTTAGCTGAATATTTCTCATTTACATAGGTAGGCCTAGTTAGCACAAATTCAAGGGCCACCAGTTTCTAGTTCTCTGGCCCACACTAGTGATATCATTTGTTTATTTATTAATTAACAATGTTACAACTTTAATGACACAGTACCGGCCAATCACTCTTAACACAATATTGTGATGACCCTTAGCACTGGTTGCTATCGACAGTTACTAGTGATAGCTGGCACAAACCAGATTTCTTAGTTACGAAGCTCCATAAATACTGATCGATATGCTAGTACAAGACCATAGTCGTATCGATTGGAGTAACGGACGGAAAGAGACAGAAATATTTGAACAGGACAATGAGTAACTCACATTTGAAGAAGACATTTTATTTAACTGCTGTCAGTGTAATTGTATCAGTGATCGCCCTTTCCGATGTGAATCAAAACTGCATGGCAAAGAACAATGGCACCATGCCAAATGAATTTCTAATAGGAACTTGGTACTTAGTGTATCAATTCGATCACATTGGTCCGATTCCAACTTGCACTTGTCCTAACGTCACCTTCACAAGACCAACAGAAGAAGAACTTAGAGGATACAGAGAAAAATATGGTAGATATGATCTACCACAGAATATTACTGAAGATTCACTCGTTGCTGATAAAGGATACATTAAAGGTTTGCTACTTGGAGGACTAGAAACAAAGACGTATATAATTGACCCCAAATCTGTGATGGTCGGTGGTCCTGAAGGGTATGAAGTAATGGTGTACAGACGTATCAATGAAAAATTTGCGTTCTTCTGGCGCTGTGCCATGAGAGGTCACGTGCGATGGCTGATGACAAATGACAGGAACGCCACTGATGAAGAGATGCAGCTTGCCATTAAAGGTAGACGTGAAGTATTCAACAAGCAAATTCGGAAATATTGTTATGATATCTGTTACTGATAAATACATATTCCTAATTTCTCTAAAAAAAAAACTCTTTGTTTATTTCTGCTTCCTCTATAAACTTTATTTTTAAACAAGTAACAGGACATGTGATATACCTCTACAGCAATAGGATATTTTTATATCACATTTTCCATGTTTCTTTTCTAAGTGACATTTCTTATAAGATATTTCTATTTCTTGTAAAGTGCCAGTCTCAAAAAATGCAATTGGAAGAAACGTCCAGCTCAAAGATGACGTACAAAGAATGTTGTATGGAACTGTCGAGCATTCTGTCCCCAGAGACGCGGCGGAGTGAAACTGACTTAAACGAGATTTCTTACATTTATTACATTTTTATATTTCTATTGTACTGGAAAATGGAAGTTTTTAAGTTTCCTTTATATCGTCGGTAAAAATTCGTTAAATGGAAGGATTTAAAAATGACACTTCGGCATAAAATAGTCATATTTATGTTGCTGTTTGCAGTGTATAATTTGGGATTAACTAAGGTACTAATTACATTATCAGGAAGTCAGCTAGCTCTAAAAATGGCATGTAAACCAAGCTTTTGTGAAACAATCAAATAAAGCCTACCATTCATACTGGAACAAAATTATCCACATCAAGGTTGTCACGCTAACAACAGTTTTCTTCTTGTGACGGCTGTTAAATTGCAAGGTTATGACAACGTTGCGTAACCCTAGGCTCATGCGAGGAGTTTCGTCGATCCATGTAATATTCAACTGTCTGTGTATCCATTATTCAGTTGCCGTCACACCGGGCCTGCCGGCAAAGCACCCGGCGTGAAAACGAACAAATTATTAACGAGATTTGCAAAATATGATCCTCGTAGACCTAATGGTAAGGTTGTTATATCTTCCCCCATTGTAGGGTCGAGTAATTTTATTTATACACCTTATGTGATGTGAATTTAAGGCGTTTGTTTTATTTTTGTGGGACGATGTCTTGTATGTGATTGAACAAACCTAAAAATATAAATGTTGTAGAGTCATGCTTCGGCACGAATGGGCCGGCTCGACCGGAGTGATACCACAGCCTCACAGAAAACCAACGTGAAACAACGCTTGCGTTGTGTATCGTCGTGTGAATGAGGTTATCGGAGGCCCAATTAAATAATCCTTGAATCACCATTTTACCATCAAGTAATCTGTCTGCTCGTTTACTGACTTATCACATAAAAAATTGGTGCATGATTAATTCGGTAAGAAATTAGAAGTAATTACAGAATTTAAAGATGTCTACAGTTTATACTGAAGGCACATATTTATTTTGTCGGCAATTTTAAGTGGTAGCGGTTAATGGTACTGTCAAACTGTCAAGACACTTTTGTAACTACATACACATGCATAACATCACGCCTATTATCCCTGAAGGGGTAGGCAGAGGTGTACATTATGTCACTGTATAATATAACACCCACTTTTCACTATTTATGTTTATATGAGTCCCATGTAATTGGGGGTGAGCCTATTGCCATATACCGGGCACAATTCCAGACTCCGTGCTACTACTGAGAATTTTTTAAAAACTTAGTAATACTTTGCCCGACCCGGGAATCGAACCCGAGACCCCTTGGCCAGTAGTCGCACTTGCGACCACTCGGTCAACGAGGCAGAACTAAAAGAGTAGAATGAGTGACTAAAAGTACTTGATTCATTCATTCATCACTCAATCTACGAAAGAACGAAGCGTTATCTTAACCCTCTTGGATCATTGGTTTCCATTAAGTTTTTACTCTCTGCTGGTGACATTATCTTCGTAAGACGAATCTTGGACTTCATTCAGCACATTTGTCAAGTCGCTCTTTCTTTCATGAACTATCATACAGTTAGAGTAAAATCAAAATAAATTGTAGTCGGTGTAAGCAATGTGCCAGGCTAAATACCATAATGGATTCTTTATTTTGTTGTATATTTGCTGTAACTACGATTAGGAATTACAAGGTACTAAATTAACATCCTCCTATATCATCAACAGCCTATAAATGCCCACTGCTGAGCAAAGCCTCTTCTCACACGGAGAAGGTTTGAGCATTAATCACCATGCTTGCTCAATGCGGATTGGCGATTTCAAACTTATAATTAGAAATTATAAGTCCATGTTTCCTCACGATGTTCCTTAACCGTTTGTTAGTGGTGTCTAAATTATCTTAGAAAGTACATATAACTCGGAAAAAGTCACATTGGTACTTGCCGTTGGTAGGTTTCGAACCCGCACCCTCATGCATGAGAAGCGGGCGTCTTAAACCACCAAGACACTCCTCCAGAAGATCCTCCTATATCCTGATATGCTTAGTATTCTGAGGTTTGACTAAGAAAAAAGAACTTTATTTGACGCTAAAAAACAAGTGACTTGTACAGTTGCATTATTCTAGTAGGTCCTGATGGATACATGGTCGGGTCCCAAGTTTGCGGTGAAATAGGACCAGTGCCTAGCCAAACGCCACTTTAGCGCTTGTCTACAGAGAGAGTAGAAATCTAAATGTTTGTGAATGAGACTGAGGAGTGTCAAAATTACGTCAATCCCATATAATTTAGTTTTCTACTCTACATGTAGACAAGCGCTAAATTGCATTTGGCTACAGCTGCAGTTTAGCATGAGCAAGATAGGGCCTTGCGCTGGTATTCTACTGGCCACTTAAGTGACTCGCGGACGTACATTTTTTTCATAAGTCTCGCTTCTGCTTGTACACACGACCACACATCAACCTATACAAAACCAGTTTATCCTGGCCTCACGTCGTATCATCTTTCCGCACATTTAACGTTCAGTTTATACTGGTTATGTAAAGCTCGATGTGTAGCCGTGTATACCTTTGAAGAATAATAGGCAAATTGCTTTGTCAAAACTAATTTGAGTATAATTTAAACATTTAATTGGCTGGTATCTAAATTATAATTATAATAATCGTAATTATTGAGTTACAGAGGTCGAACTAATTAATGTTTCAGTGATTAACATGGATATTGTCTAAATAAACGAATGTCATTTTAATTTAATAGTATTTATAATATCATAAAACATTTGCAATGAGATAACTAAATAATAATAAATAGAAGACAAAATTAGATCTATTAACAATAGAATCATTGCACTATAGGAGATCGGTCATACATACATCAAATTATACTTACCCGCTAATCCAATAATAGCCCAAAAAAGAACAACAAAGAGGATTAAACAGAGATTCCCTAAAAACGGGTAAAAATACCCAAAACGGGATTTGAACTGACGTCCCATTGTGTGACGCGTGCGGTGTGACAATCATCCGATAATGACGTGTTTAGCGTGACAGATAACAGGGATACGTCAATCATGGCATAATAAGCGTATTGCAATGACAGCTTACCACGAAAATTACGTAAAAAGCAAAAAAAATATTCGAATATAGGTATAGGTACCTACTAACAACCGCACATCAAGCTACCCTTATGTTTCTGCAATAGATTTTCGACTTTATTTACAATACTCTAAAATTCAAAATCAATATTCGAGCTCAATTGATTAAAATACGAATTTGTGTAAAGAGGTTATAATCCTGGCAATCAATTGCTAGAAAAAAGTAATATGTATAAAAAAAAGAATAACAACAGCTGTCATCGTTTGAACATTTTGTAAATAGAATTCAATTTAAAAAGAAAAATTATAGAATTATTAGATCTATTGGACTATTAATTTAAAAGTTATTGAGAAATCGAATTTATTGTTAGGGTGTAATGCACTCTGTCCTAATTGACTTTTGATTCAATATTATATGTATACTACTATAATAATTTAGGGTGATTACAATTAATTTCTTCTTAAGTCCTTTTTTAACTTTTTGTATAGGAATTAGTGTAAAAATGTATAAAATCGTTACTTGTTTTGTTTGATACCAAATCTTAGTGTAGTTAAGTGAAGGTCTAAAGGTAGCTAGGCCTGTAGGAGGCCTTTGTTCGACAGAGGACGTTTTCTGGCTATTGATGATGATAAGGATGCTTGCAGTAGATCTATTGAACTCCATTCGTATCTAATAATAATGGTAAAAATAGAAGACTTATGATATTTAAAATTGTATGAAAGTACAGTGACTGCCTCATTGGCAGAGTGGTCGCAAGTACGAACGCCGGACAAGGGGTCTCGGGTTTGATTCCCTGAACGGAAAAAGTACCTATTACTGCATTTAAAAAAAATCTCAGTAGTAGTCTATAATTGTTCCCGGTATATGCCAATAGGCTTACCTTCTATTACATGGGACTCGTAACAAAAATAGTAAAAAGTGGATGTTACATTGTACAGTGGCATTAAGTGCCATAATGTGCACCTCTGCCTATCCCTTCGGGGATAAAAGGCGTGATATATTATACTTGAAAGTACATACAAATTAGACAATAGTCTAATAGATATCATCATTAATTGATAGATTGAAAACAATAGTGACAAATTTCGTTGTTGGTACTGGTTCAGTTTGACAGTTTGTTTAGTTGCAAGTTAGTGGTGCAGACGGTGTAGACAGTTGGCTGATTGTTCGAGTAATCGGTATGCTAGTCGGAGTTTAGGAATCGGGTGTAGTTTATGCCAAATCAGTAATGCATCTGCCATCTTGTTTACAGTTAAACAGATTTCGAATGTGATTAACCTAATCATTGTCATTTTTTTTCTTTTTCTCCAATTACACAAATTGTGTTCTATTTTTAAACCACTGTTCAGCCGATGAATTGCCAATGCTATGTAGGCGTTATAATTCTATGTAGGTATGTAGGCCGTTACTGTTTGAGAGACATTGTAGAACATACTTTTTTAAAAGAGTAACGAATGGAGTTTCTTGCTCGTTCTTCTCCATTCGAATCTACGTTTTGGAATGAGCACCTAGCTTCACCTAGCTTCACTGACGGACTGACTGACAGACTATTATTTATTTTGTATTTGTTGACGTTTCAAAAGTACCAAACTATGGTTTAATTGAAATAAATGATTTGACTTTGACTATGACTTTGACTTTGTTACAAGCATCACACTGTTATTTTGTT